CTTGGGTTATATTTGCTCTACCTGGAAGTCTTGAGGTCCATCTTTGTTAATTTAATTGGATTTTTAATGTAAGCACACCTCATTTCTATGAACTCCCCTACACTGCCAAGATTCTAATAAGCTGCTTTGCTTCTCATTCTTTTCTAGCTTTACAATTTCTTCCCCATTGTCTTCACAATCATTAGGAGCATATTTGCTTGCTCCCCGTACATGTGTAGGTTCTAAAGTTCTTGTTATGGGTTTCTTTAATGCCACTGTGATCTTTTATGCAATGTGATGCATCATTTTTTATTTTTTATACTTATCGACTCTTGCTTTATGGACTAAAATGTGATCTATTTTGGAGAAAAATCCCATAGGCTCATGAGAAGAATCTGTGTTTCATAGCTGTTGGATATAATAATTCCTACATGTCAATTTGAGTTACAGCAGTTTTCTCTGTTGAGCTTTGGGTCTATGTTATCTTTCTATTGGTGAGAATGGGAATAATTATTTCCCATATTATTATATCTGGGCCTGTATGACCCTTAATATCTAGGAGTGTATGATTTACAAAGCAGGGTATACCAATGTCCAGTGCTTATCTACTCCCACCACTGCACATTCTTGATGGAGTTTATAAAATTGTAATCACCTTATTTATTGCTTCAAATTTCTGACTGAAGTCTGCTTTTTTTTTCTCTTGTGTATATGTGTGTTCAGGTGGGTATGTACATGCAGGTGCTAGTGTATGCCAGAAGGTGATGTCTGGTATCTTTCTCAATTGCTCTTCACCTTAACTTTTGTAACAGAGTCTCTCACTTAACTAGGCTGGCCGGCCACTGAGCTCCCAAGGTCCTTCTGTACTTTGTCTATGCTACTTTTACCTGGGTGTTGAGCATCAGGTCTTCTTGCTTGTGCAACACGTTATCAGCTAACCCATCTCTCCAACCCTTCAAACCTGTCTTCTCAGCTATCAGCATAACTATTCCTGCTTGCTCCCAGCTTCTACTTCCTTAGTATAATGACTTTCATCCTTTTACTTTTAATCTGCCCCCCCCCCATGGACATCAAATAGTTTGTTTTTGGCTGTTATCAGGAGCCTCAGACCACAGTGTTGTCCTTTTCAGTGAAGTGGTATTGGTGCTGTAATAGACTCATAAAGCCAAGAGGAGCCTTTGTGCAAGGGTTCTCAGCTCTTCCCTGCAGGATAGAAAATGGTGGTGAGCAGAGAGATCTGCCTTCCTGTGATGGCTAGTCCTAGTTTTCCTTGTCATTATTAAGAGAAACTGAAAGTGTTTTCTTACATGGGAGGAATTATTTGGAGATTCTAAAAAGCTCCAAGAAAAATGACAGTGGGGTTCATTTGCAGCAAGTAAAGATACAACAAATCTGCTGTGTCACACCCTCGTAGATAAATTAGTGTAATGAGGACCATCAACTGATTGCCGTGACTGCTTTATGTGACAGCAACTGATTGTCATGACTGCTTTATGTGACAGCAATGTATAGCCTAGACTTTCCAAAGTCATTACATGTAAACATGAACAAATTATCCACATACTGATGGTAAATAGTTTTCAAGTCTGTCTTAAAATTTTGCAAAAGCGAATAATGACACTGACTTGTAAGCCATATATTATTGCACACAAATTATAAAGAGCTTCCGGCTCAGTGGTATTTTTGCCTGTTGTCACAGCTTACACTTCAACTTACAAACTTAGGGCCAGCCTAGGCAACATGAGACTGTCTTAAGAAAAAAACAAAAAATTATAATTACTAAGAATGTCTCAGAGAACAACACTGACCATCAATCCACTGAGTATAATACCCAGGAGAACGCAAAAAAGATGAGAACAATTACAGAAGGCATAAGTCTGGATGGAAGATGAAACAGCTCTAAAGACAGATGTCCAGAAAACAAAGTGCCTATCCTGGTTTGATTCAGAGTATCATCCTGACTAATGAGCAGGGACAGAGATGAGACCTAGAAAGAAGGCTTGCATGCTGCCTTCTTTATGGGGAAGAGGAACCGCTCACTCCAGACAGTGAAGACAAACACATTCTTTTCATCTAGTCAATGATCAGGACTTTTACTCAGTTTTATTTCTGGTATAAATGGCAGTGTTTGAGAAAGAATCTGGCAAGTGGGAAAATAGGAATCTTTTCACCCAACGGTAGACAGGAATGAGGAAGTCTCTTTAGAAATTCATCCCTACCCCAGACATTCTGTGTTCTTTATTCAGTTAGGGGAGGTCAAGGTTTTTTGAGATATTTTGTTCTTCTTGGTCAAATCCAACTTGGTACGCAGCCCCTGTAGCCTTTGTCTTTGGGTCTCCTTATAGCCAAAGGCAGGAGCTTTTTCCAGCCGGACCAACCAGTCCCTCTGGTATCTTCCAGCCACCACTTCACAATGCAGTGTGCAAAGCCCTTAGCTTAGCATCCACATCACATCTGATGCCAGCCTACTCTTCAAGGAAACTCAAGTGTTCTTAACTAAACATGAGGAACAGTGACAACCACAACATGCCAAATGTTCTAGTTTACATATTCTAATGACTGTGTTGCTTGGAACAAAGACTTAATGCCTGAAGGGGCTCTAGTCAGTCCAAGCAGGGCAGACATGCCTTTGGCAGGCCTTGCCCTTCTCCCCCATTCCTTCTGCCTTGCTAGAACCCATTAGATGACATTCCTAAACCTAGCCACCAAGGTCTGCTCCCTTATTTGTCCACTTGCTCTTCCTGAGGTTGACTATGAGGGTCCACCTATCAAATTTTGAAATCCAGCAATCAAAAGCCCCCTTTGGTTCACCTAATTAACATGCCAATAAAAATTAAAAAAAAAAACTCATCCAACACAGGGAGCTTTCCCTTTTACATTCATAAACTGCCATTTGCTTATGCGCCATGCCTGTCTCCTTGCTGTCCAGAGGCAGTCCATTGTCCTTCCAGGATAAATACCTTTCTTCCCTCCCTCCTTCTCCCATGTCCTCTGTCTCTTGTCTTTGTCTCTTGTTTCTTCCACTTTGTCCCTCTGGGGAAAATAAATCTCCTCTTGTGCTGACAACTTGGTCTTGGGGTGTCTGTGTTGATACCAGTCCCTTCAGTGCCTAGGAAAGGCACTAGAAAAAAATTATTTTGCTTTAATAAATGTAGTTCTAGCACAGTTGAAATGGGCTGGCTTATCCAGGTAAGGGCAAAGCCATACACAAGGTCACAGACACTCCCATTTCTTCCTCTAGGCGAATGAGTGTCTGATGGGACCAGGAGTTATGTGATTGTGATCACTCAGTCTTGTGCCTAAAGGTGGCAATAACTAGGAAAATAGTTAGAAAATAAAGAACCATGTTTTACTTTCTTTATTGTTTAGTTTTTATTAGGAATCATGTTTTTCATTAAAGGCTATCTGTTATACTCATCATCCTAAATGAAAGAACACACAGCTAAACTAAACATGTCAATGGTACCTACATAGGGAATGACGGACAGCACAGTGTGACTATGAGACGGGATCCTTTTCTTCTCTCTCTCTCTCTCTCTCTCTCTCTCTCTCTCTCTCTCTTTTTGTTTCTGAGCTAACATCTTGGCTTTCCTTTCATTTTCTCTTTAAAAAATATTTTTATTTTTTTTATTTTATGTACATTGGTGTTTTGCCTGAAGGTATGTCTGTATGAGGGCATCAGATCCCCTGGAACTGGAGTTGCAGATAGCTGTGAGCTATCATGTGGGTGGTGCTGGGAATTGAACTCAAGTCCTCCGAAAGAGCAGTCAGTGCTCTCAACCACTGAGTCATTTCTCCATCATGATCCTTTTCTTCTTTGAGATGGGTCTTGCTATGGTGCTTAGGCTAGCCTCAAACTCCAGATTCAAGCAGTCTTTCTACCTCAGTTTTCCAAGTGTTGGGACTATAGATATGGTTCATCATGTCTGGCTGAGGAGTTTATCCCAGTGATCTGAGGTTGGCATGCTGGGATACCACAGTGTTACTAACACTAACTGTTACCAAACCTAAAACAATGTACATAAAAATTAACTTGGAAAGATATCAATGTTTGTAACAAATAAAATATTTTCTGTGCCTACTATGTTTCTTTATAATTGATTTTTAGGCCTGCAGTGAACATACCAGGTGAGGAAAAGGGTCTCAAAGCACCCACCCATGGTGGCTAGATCTGCCATCCTGGAGCAGGCATGAGAAAGGTTCTCTCTTCATGACTGGTTACTTCTAATACTTGCCAATCCTTTTTGTTCAAATGGAGACATGTTAAACATGCATCTCCCATGTAGTGGTTTGAAAGAAAATGGCCCCTAAAGGGAGTAGCACTATTAGGAGGTATGGCTTGGAGAAAGTGTGTCACTGTAGGGGTGGGCTTTGAGGATTCATATATGTTCAAATCATGCCCAGTGTCTCAGACCACTTCCTTTGCCTGTACAAGACAGAGAACTCTCAGTTACCTCTGCAGTACCATGTCTGTCTGCAAGCCGCCTTGTCCCATCATGATGATAATGGACCTTTGAGCTGTTAAGTTGCCCCATTAAATGTTTTCCTTTATAAGAGTTGCCATGGTCATGGTGTCTCTTCACAGCAACAGAAGCCTTAACTAAGACACCCTACGCCCTGCCAAGTAACATAAAAAATGCAAAGCGAGCATAAGCAAACACAGGCAGGAGTTGTCTGTTTCTGTGATGTGGTGATCCTACGAAGTTCAGCCAGCTACTGGGAGGTAGTAGTGAGGTCTCCATTTTCACTGATGTTATAGCATAACTGGGGACTCTTAGAGTTGTAAAAGCTCAATTTTACCTTATTTTATCAGAAAATGGCACCATCAAACAGCACACAATGGTCAAACCAAAGCTGATTTGAATACCATTTTTCATGCAATAAGGTTGGAGGTCACTAAGTTGAGCAAAAAGCTCTAAAAGTGAAGTGAGCTGCAGTCTCACTGCCTGTTGACTTTACCAGTCCCGAATATTCACCCACACAGACCATGTGTGTGTGAGCAGGTAGTGGTACACACCCACCTTTTCTTCAAAGAACTTTCTCCTTAACTTGGCATCCGTAGGAGGGACTATTTTCCTTAGGTTTCTGTACCACTTTCTAACGATGTACCCTCTCCAGTAGGCTTGGACTCTAAAACACAGAGATGTAGAAATAATGACTGCCTAATAGCCTCATTTTTAAACTAAAAATTCTTTTATTTTATTATGCATATGAATGTTTTGTTTACATGAATATCTATACCACTTATGTGCCCAGTGCTCATGGAGGTCAGAGAGAACATCCAATTCCCGACAACTAGAATTACAGACAGTTGTGAGTCACACCATGTGGGTGCTGGGAATTGAACCTGGGTCTTCTAGAGCAGTTAGTGGTTTTGACCACTGAGCCATCTCTGCAGCCCCTAATGGCCTTATTTTAGTAAGTACTTCTCCCAGCCTGGGCTGCCTAGTGACCTTCTGGGCAAATAATCAGCCTGAGCTACAAACATTTGTCTCCCCTCCGCAGGGCATGGAGGACACTCTTACCTGGTGGCACACTTTACTCTGAACAGGCGGGCCCCATCATGTATCACTCTGGTTTGATATTGGTTCTTTCTACAGAGGGGACAGGTTTTTTTATTTGTGAACTTTTCAAAAGCCTGAAGACATGCCTGCAGAAAAGGATTTCACTTAAAACCTTACAAGTCATTACTTATAAACAACATTTTTACTTCTAATGTAACTAGTGCTCTTTTTCTCAAGTGAAACTCAGTCCAATTTAGATTATGAAGTAGCTTCATCAGATGTGAGCACTTCCTCAGGAAACCTGTTTCAAAAATGACTTTCCACAAGAACATGCATGCAGAGACTTCAAAAACCTCTGCAAGTCAAGTGGCATAAAGGTAAAATGCTACGTGTCAGGCTGCCATGCAAACAGCCGGCAGGAAGCAAGCTATCAGCAGCTTTGATGTGCAGCACTAACACTCTGCTACACAAACATCTGTGGGTCTGTCACAGAACCCACGGTTTTCACCACAGGATGAGCTGCGGTCTACCCTAAAGCCATGTTTCTGACTACAAATGGTGCTCATGGATCAACACATAACTCCTTCAGTGTGCGAGGGAAGGAGGCCAGGCCGAGGGTGGGGGTGTGAGGGAAGGAGGCCAGGCCGAGGGTGGGGTTCCTTACCTTGTGGAATACGTGTGAGCAGGAGAGCAGCACCTGTCCACCCGGAGAGAGCAGAGTCCTGGGTTAGTAGTACATCCTCTAGAAGGGCATCCGGATGCTTGAAGGTAGCATTCAGACAGCCGAGCACGTTCACACTTAAGTTTAATATAGTATAAGCATATCATCTAAACAAAGCCAATGACCCAATACCATAAAACACATCATGCTTGATATTAATCCAGTAAAAGGAGTACCAAGGTAGATACTGCTAGGTAGATTGGGTGGGGCATGAAGGACTTGATAGGAGAAGGGGCAGAGACACAATAAGCAAACATCTTTACAGGGTTTTGTAAATTACACTCCTCAACTTAAAATCACAGCTTATTGTGACCTAATTCTGAGAGTTTTTAGATGGAGAGAAAATATGTTCATGAGAAAACGCCAACCTTCTGACTCAAAACTCTCCACCCAACAGTGATATTTTGACCTGGAAAAACAAAAATCAAAACTAGCCTAGACCCAATAAGGAGAAGGGATTTTAGACCATAACCACAGGCAGGTGAGTGGGAGATCCACATCCTACCGTTTTCAGTGACCTACCCTGTGGCTTTGCTCACTCTGTATTTTTCTTAAGTGGGATTTAGGGAAGGAATTTTAGAATAGAGTTCATAAACTCCTAAAACCTTTTTAAAATATTTATTTTATTTTAGGAACATGGGTGTTTTGCTTGCATGTATGTCTGTGTACCACATGCATAGGGTCCTCATAAAGACCTGAAGAGGGCATTAGATCCTCTGGAATTGGAGTTAGAGGTGGATGTAAGTACCATGTGGGTGCTAGGAATTGAACCCCAGTACTCTGGATGGGCAGCCAGTGCTCTTAACTTGTGAGCCACGTCTCTAGCCCCTAAAACCTTTTTATGGATCCTGCCAACTGTAAACTTTAATTAAGTATTGTATTAAAATCATCTGTGGACTCAGTTTTTTTAAATATAACTTTCAAAGTCTTTTATCAACAGATAACATTCTGCTCTAAACAATGTAAGTCTTACATAATTCTAATAAATAATATTAGAATATTACACTTTGAGATACCCATATGTTCATTATAGGCAAACAGTTCATGGTGATAGTTACACAAGTGAGGCCTACACTTCATTTACATTTTGTCATATTTCTGGGTTGGTCTGTAGTGAATCACCTGAGTTCTGTTCTCACTATTAGTTGGTGCCATCTACTGCACAGATAAGAAATTACTTGAGCTGGGTGGTGGTGGTGCACGCCTTTAATCCCAGTACTTGGGAGGCAGAGGCAGGAGGATCTCTGTGAGTTCAACGCCAGCCAGCCTGGTCTACAGAACGAGTTCAAGGATAGCCAAGACTATTTCACAGAGAAACTCTGTCTCAATAAAACCAAAAAAAATCCAAACCAACTAGAAAAAACAACCCTCCCAAAACAAAGACAAACAAATAATAAAAAACCACAAAAAATCCAACAAAGTATCATGAAAGTAATTGAGAAAATTATTTTTATTTTTATTCGTGTGTGTGTTTTGCCTGCATGTATGTCTTATCTGTATGCCTGGTGCCATGGAAGTCAGAAGAGGGCATAGGATCTCCTGGAACTAGAGTTGTGAGCCACCATGGGGGTATTAGGAATCAAACCTGGGTCTTCTGGAAGAATAGCCAGTAAATACTCAACCACTGAGCCATTTCTCTAATCCAGAAAAACTGTTTTTAACTAAGAAAAAAAATCCAGTATGGGAACACTAAGTGCAAGATTAACACAATACTGTTAGTATTTTAGCCAAATACTATAAATATAAATAAAATGACAAAGTTTGGTGAAATTCTTACATACCACCTGAAATATTTAAGTTTTCATCCTGTACACAAACAGGCTAAACATGTACAGACAATAGATGAGGTTGCTGATGCTGGGTGATTTTCTGCAGCTTTAATGATCTTGCACTCCGACACTAGATTACAAACTTCCCTACATATGACAGTTCTGTGGTTCAATGGCTGACTGAAATCTTCCCAATATCCAACTCCTACGTAAGATTAGGTCCTCTTGGAGAGCTAGAAGGAAAGTACACTTCAAGAATCTTTTTTTTTTTTTTAATTAATTTATTTATTTATTAAACATTTCTGTCTCTCACTTCAAGAATCTTAATTCACATTACTGGACAGCAAAAATGGCTGTGAGCTCCTTGTTGACAGTGAAGCATTTCTAAGTCTGAGAGGTCAGGACAAGCCCATGAAGCTTGGGGTCCTCGGCTGGGACCTAAGCCTGGCTATGTGCTGGGTTTTCTCAGCTGTCGTCTCAGTGCCTACCATGTAGAATCTAAGGCTACACACTATGCAAAAGCCTTGGGCAAAACCATATTTCTCCCCAAATTCTGAAGCATGAGTGACCTTGGCTCCTTGGAGCTGGCAGTTTAGTCAGGCACAGCAGTGGGTCTGTGTGACAGGGTCATGAGCTTTCTATGCACCGGGATGACCAGCCAGCTTATATTAAGAGCCGTGTGGACAAAGATTCTATTTTATACCAGGATTCTCCCATAAATTCTTTGAAGATATTCAAAGCATTCTTTCATGCAAATGGCATATTTGTACTTAGTGTCACACGAGTAAGTGTACACTGTCAAGTGATGCTGTTTAGCCATACACATACACTTTAAGGGTAGTAGAGAAAATGTTAAGTATTTGAAAGTTACAAGGGAGCATGGAACTGTGTGGCTCAGTGACTAATTCTGGGGATGCAGAGCCTGGCTGATCTAAAGCTCTGTTATGTACCTGAGGATGGAGCTCAAATTCTTCTTTACATATCGGGCATGGTTGCATGGAGTCCCCTTGTAGGAGGGATCTCTGCTTCACTCTCTCCCATTCATCTGATGACAGTGGCAATGGGGGAGGTGGCAAGAGGCCCAGTTTCTGGGCTACAGGAAAGATAAGACACAATAAAAACTCACGTATTTTAGCATAGACACATGTAATTTTAGCATAGTCACATGTAATTTTTAATAGGCAATCTGTATGTGGATACTCTAGGGAGGCATTATAGCAACCTTCCACAATGCATATCAAGGTGCTTTTCTATGGAGGTATGAGTACAGTGATAAACCTGACATTCTCAATAATGATTTCATCATTCTGAATGTTAGGGATATTCAAGCAAGCAGGATTGACATTTAGTTGTATAGAAGTTGAAGAACACATTATTATTATTATTTGTCATTTTCCTTCTTGTTTTTCATCTAATTTAACTGTCAGCTTCTAGCACTGCCTCCGTCCACTTAGCCTTGCTGCCTTCACCTTTACAAAGCACATCAATCATGTGCTACCTAAGAATACATTTTTTTTTTTTTTTTTTTTTGGTTTTTCGAGACAGGGTTTCTCTGTAGCTTTGGTGCCTGTTCAGGAACTAGCTCTTGTAGACCAGGTTGGCCTCGAACTTCCAGAGATCCGCTTGCCTCTGCCTCCCGAGTGCTGGGATTAAAGGCGTGCGCCACCACCGCCCGGCAAGAATACATTTCTTAAGTAAGAAATTTATAAGAACCCATCACATGAGCTTATATCCCATGGGGAACTCACAACATTCCTGAGCATAGGGCTGGTAGGACTGTAAATATAAATCACTATCTGCAAACTGTTAAATAATAGTAAAGGTACATTAAAAAAAAATAGACCTAGCACAGAGGGCCATCTGAAAAGCACTCTTGGTCCTAGAAAAATTCATGGTAGAAGTATGAATATACTCTGAAAGGCTAGAACATAAAACTACTCTCACAGGGAGTATATTTTCTAGATAAATAGACTTCTATGCCTTCCCAGGAAAAGTCACAGAAGAGACACTTATCCCATGAGCCTTAATAATTGTGGATATATAGAAAGCAAAAAGACAATGGAGAGACATAGTGCTAAGAGCTAAGTAGCTAGGAGAGCATTAGTGTCAACATGGGAAGTAAACAGCAGTTCACAGGGATGTGGATGTCTGCATGCACTTGCCAGGAAACAAACTCTGCACACAAATGTTTTACCTAAGATGATAGCAAAAGGAAATGCAGCAAAGTAAAAGAAACAAAAAGGAATTAACAAGGACAACAGCAGAAATTCCAAGAAAATAAAAGCCAAAATGAAACTAGAACCAACAGTAGGTATAAATCCAAAATATCTTTTTCTCCAAAGAGACATTTCTAATTAAATTGATATAT